TGCAAATTTAAAAGGAGTGCCTGTTGCCTATTGTTTAATGACCACTGAAAATAAAGACAATTTAGAATTTTTTACTCTTCAATGTGTGACCATAACGATTTACAACAAACCCAAGTTGCCATGGTTGATAAAGATTTAACAAACATCGATATTTTACAACATTATTTTTACAAAGCATGAATATTACTCTGTGTTTTTCACGTTCTAAAATATTTAAAAGTACGAGTTCATGAACTTAAAATACCATTACCAAACCGAATGAATATTATGAAAAATATTCGTAGGCTTCTTTACGATAATGATCAAATGTCGGCGATTTATTTGAAAGAAATTAAAACTGAATCAGAAGGAACTGACTTTTATCAATATTTTGAACTAAATTGGCTGTCTTGTTGTGAAATGTGGCAAACCAAGTACAGGAAAAATCTCTTCAACTTTGATACAGATACTAATAATCGCTTGGAACAATTTAATCGAACTTTAAAGGATCATATATTACCAAAGATGCACATATCGGAATGAGTACAATAATTAATAATAGCAGCGGAGGACGCCAGAGTTGAAGGAATGAATACATATATAAACTTGAAACAAAGGATTTGTAATGGTAATGATTCAATATTGGTTCAATGAATTGGTTCTCAACTAACAAACAAAACAATCGATTTATTGCGTAAACAAAATGATGAATTAAAACAAAAACATTATTTCATGGAAGAACTGGAGAATAATAAATGGAAAATCGGTCAAAAGATGAAGAAAAAAATCGTTTTATAACTTCAAGCATCATTCATCGTGATTCATACAAAGATCTATTGTTTTGCGATTGCGATTTTTTTTACAGAATTAATTACCGTGTCGACATATAATATTTTTTCTTGACAGATTGAATAAGGACATATTTGATCAATCGAAGACAATTCAAGAAATGATATCAATTAATACACGATGATTAAAATCTACAGTTGATCATTATCTAAACGAGATTGTATATTATGATGGTAAATGAAGCTTCGATTCACAATGCAAAATAACACAAATAGCATCTAAAAGAACGAATGTTTTAAGTAGTAATGACAAGTATAACATCTTAAAATCAATTTTGGATCTCTTGACAGCTCGTATAACTCAATACGGAACCGACGAATTTCGTGACCATGTTAATTTTCTGAATGTTGTTCTAGATTTAATCAATATAAATAAACATAAAGAATTGTACAGTTATGCAATCAATGTGAAAAAAAAAAGACAGATAGCAATCGGATTATGAAACAGAATGAGAAATTGGTATAGATTCACATGATAATATAAAACAAGAATCACCAGAAAAAGAAGCAATATTTAACGATGAAGAAAAAGTTGAAAAACAACAAGAATTGAGTATCAACCTAGACGCACTGAAACAAGAACATAAAATAAACTTATGTAATGAACCTGAAGAAGCTTTACCAAATTTAGAACTAAAACAAGAAGAAGCAATAAAAGATGAACAAGATCAATCATCATCAAAACGAAACTTTGTTTAAAGTTATTCACCAGTTATTAATCCTCCAGGTCGACCACGTGGTAAGATATCGTTGGTTTCTTATAAGCAAAAAGACAACAAAATCGTTCAAGATAAAAACATAAAAAAACTTATAATAAAGTTTCATCCGATCTTAAAATATATAAACATAAACGTAATAAAAAAGTGGAATCAGTTCGTGATGTGTACGATAATACGATTTGGCTAACCGACTTACATATATCTTTATTCTTTGAATTATTACATAAACAATTTCCAAATATTAATGGTTTATGTGGCCCTGTGCAAATACACTTATACACAGGTTCATTGGAAAATTCGATCTTTATTTTCAATGCAAACAACAATCATTGGTTCACAGTTGCAAATTTAGACTCTGATAATATTTGGAAAATTTATGATTCTCTATCTTATCCAAAAGAATCATTAGTTAAATTTTTTCAAGATATATTACCTGGTGAAGAAAAAGTTGTTTTATCATTTGAAAATGTAGAGCAACAAGTTGGTGGTAATGATTGTGGATTATTCGCATTAGCTTTTGTAACGTCTCTTTGTTATAAAGATATTCCATCATCTCTATTTTATGATCAGAAATCTTTACGTAATCATTATGGTAATTGTATTGAAAATAATGAAATACAATGCTTTCTTGCGAGACTGAAAAGAGGAAGTACTAGAAACAATTATAAATTAGTTGAACTCCATTTAAAATAGATTATTTATTTATTTTTGCTTGTTATAATTGATTTGTATACCTATACAATATTAGTTTTTTTGAATGTGTATTTTACTGTCAAATTTTATTTGTGTACTTGATTAATATTAGTTTTTTTTTCTTTAAATATTTTATTGTAAAACTTGAGTTGTAATTTATTTAATTGTGATAAATGATGTATGAAACAATATTAAAAATAAGTTTCAATATTCTATTTATGTCCCCTAGACTGAAAGGATAGGGTCTAGAAACCGAAATTCACCTGTGTGTGTCTGTCTGTCTGTCTGTCTGTAACACCTGGTACAAATGACCACTTTGTATGGTACAAATGACCATTGCCGTGGTACAAAGTACCAGAGTCGTGGTACAAATGACCATTTTCATTGTATAAAGTACTATAGTCAAGGTGCAAACGACTTTTTTCATGGTACAAAGTCCTATAGTTGTTCCCTAGACTGAAAGGATAGGGTCTATAAACGGAAATTCACCTGTGTCTGTCTGTCTGTCTGTGTGCAACATGTGATACAAGTGACCATAGTGGTGGTACAAATGATCATACGGATGGTACAAGTGACCACACTGATGGTACAAATGACCATAAGGATGGTACAAGTGACCATAGCGATAGTAGAAGTGACCATAACGATGGTACAAGTGGCCATAGTGATGGTACAAATGACCATACCAATGGTACAAGTGACAATACCAATGGTGCAAATGACCACACCGATGGTACAAGTTCCATAGACTGAAAGGATAGAGTCTACAAACCGTAATTCACCTGCGTCTGTCTGTCTGAAGCATGACCTTGGCACAAATGACCATATCTGTGGCACAAATGACAATTTCTATGGCACAAAGGACCATTTCTATGGTGCAAATCACCGCAACTATGGCTCAAATGACCATTTATATGGCACAAATGACCATTTATATGATACAAATGACTGTAACTATGCCTCAAATAACCATTTATATGGTACACATGATCATTTATATAGCATAAGTGACCGTGCATGAGTATGGCACAAATGACCATTTCTATGGTACAAATGACCGTAATTATGGCTCAAATAACCATTTCTATTCCTAGACTGAAGGGATTGGGTCTAGAAACGGAAATTCACCTGTGTCTGTTTGTCTGCAACATGTGATACAAGTGACCACAATGCTGATACGAGTGATCATAACAATGGTACAAATGGCCATAGTCATCGTACAAATGACCAAGGCAATGGTACAAATCATCATAGCCACGGTAGAAATGATCACAACGATGATACCGCTGACTACAACCATGGTACAAGCGACCATAAAGTTGGTGCAAGTGACCGTAGCCATAGGCCAGGTGATCACAAATATGGTAGAAATGACTATAGCAATGATAAAACGGACCACAACCGTGGCACGAATGACCATATCAATGTTACAAGTGACCAAGCCAGTGGTATAGATGACCATGCCGACGGTACAAACTACTATAGCCATGGTACAAGTGAGCACAATCATGGTACAGGCAGCCACAAAGTTAGTACAAGTGATCAAAGCCATGGTTCTGGTGATCATAAAGATGGTACAAATGACATTAGCAATGGTACAAATGACCATAGCCATGGTACAAGATACTACAAAGATGGTACAAATGACCATAACCATGGTACGAATGATTGTATCGATGGTACAAGTGACCATGTCGAAGGTACAAATAACCATAGCCATCATAATAGTGACCACAACTATGGTATAGGTGACCACAAAGATAGTACAAATGACCACAGCAACGGTAAAAGTGACCCTAACCATGGTACGAATGAGCATATCGATGACACAGGTGACCATGTCGATGATACAAACGACCATAGCCACGGTATTAGTGATCATACCAATGGTAAAAGTGACCGTAGGGTTGGTACACATGATCACAGACGTGGTGAAAGTGACCACAAAGGTGGTACAAGTGGCCGAGGGTATGGTCATTGGGACCATCGTTTGGGTACCTTGAATCATTGTTGTGGTTGCTTAGACCATGTTTTGATTGCTCGAACCATTTATATGGTTAATGACCATAGAGATAGTACGAATGACGAAATGGTAAAAATGGTCACAAGTTCAGTGAAAGTGACGGTAAATCTGCATGAAATAGCGTTAACTATGGCACAGGTAACAAAAATATGATCTAATTGACCACGAAGATACTCTAATTGGTCACAAACACGATCCAATTAACCATTGGTATCACACAAATATGGTTTGAATGATGATAGATAAGGTTCAACAGACTACAGATACGATTGTGTCCAGCATACTTGTTGTCAGATGGGCCATACATGTGACCACGTACCATATTTGTGGCCATTTATGCCATTTCTTGCTCGTTCGGAATACATCCATGATCTCTCAGACCTTGTCAGTAGTCATTGGGACCATAGTTACCATGTGGTTACTGTTTTACAGAGAGACTGACGGACAGAGGTGAATTTTCGGTTCTAGGCCATAACCTCAGTCTACGACCAAGCGAATCGAATCTCGATGAGCGCTACTTGTTAATAATTAAGTACATAGATGTTCATATATAGCTTGAGATTTAGCAAATAATTGATTTAATCTTTCTGAGTGCACATAGCCATGTGGCTATGTGCACCTAGGTGTACATAGTCGCTTCCATATTGATAATAGAGATGTATGTTTCTTCTCTTTTTCGTTTTTCGATTTGCTTGGACATATAGACTTTTCTGTATATCTATGTGGATAATATAGATGACTATTTGTTCGTTTTTTTGTTTATTTTATGCTTGCACATATAGTCTTTTGTATATCTTTGTGTTAATAATATAGATGACTATTTCATCGTTGTTTTTTCCTTTTTTTTATATGGTTGGACATATAGAGGTTTTTATGTCTATATGTATATGGTATTGATGTGTATTGATTCGTTTGTGGTTTTGTTATTTTCGCGATAAGTTCTATATTAGAATTTTCTGGAAGGTACATGTTTTGTTGTTGAAGAAGTGTTTTTTCTTTTACCATGATTTGTTTTTTTTTTCAGAAGCGGTTGGTACAAGATTCAAAATTGATTCTCTTCGCTTTAATGATTTCTTTCGGATATGTCTTCATCGTACTTTGGCGCAACTGTCGGTCGACACTCATCATATACTCAGGCGATCTATGAACAATATCGGTGGTCATATTGCTGCTGGTTGAACATCTGGTGTACTTATTGCCGGTAATACTGAATCAGCACGTGGCATATCATTGCTTCTTGGTGTTCATTCGCGGGACTCGGGTGAAAATGCAAACATTCTCGATTGAAAGGTAATATTTTTTTGAAAGAATCAGGTGATGTTTTTCAGAAGCAATCAGAATTATGAAAAATTTTGGTTTTTCATTTAGATTATATGTTATAGTTGGCTTTTGTTTGTGATTATATTTATGTATTGGTGCTATTTTTTGAAATTTTTGGATTGCATTCTTTTACTGTAAATATGTTTTTAAATGTCGTTAAGCTATTTTCAATTTTTATTTGAGTTTTTTTCTGTATGAAAGATATTGGTTTATGCTTTTTGGATTTTTTGCTTTTTTTTCTGTTCTGTTTATCGTTGTTATTGTAATTAGAATAGTGTGTGCTAACTGCTCCTAAGATAGAGATGTTGTTGTTATCATTTAGGAGATTTATGAAGGAAGAGAACTTGACTTCTTTAATATTTTTCGTAAATTATTGTTATTGTTGTATTCATCGTTTGTAGATCGGAAATATCTTTTTTCTATTATCTTTGCATGTTGCTATTGTTTTATTGATTTTACTGTTTAACAGTGACTTCCAAATTATGTACAGATGAATATCTTTACAAATAAAAATTTTCTTTAAGATGTGAAGTCAAGTTTAATTGTATTTAAGGTGTCAAGATTCAAATATATCAATACAACGTAGCTCAAATAAATCTGTTGTAATCTTACTGTATGGTCTTATATGATCATAGAATATCGTATTGTTGGTTTATATACGGACCTTAGTGTAAGAACTGACGTAAGATTTCATGAACTATGATTTTTCGTAGGATTTTTCATATGATCTGATATGATCATGTACAATATTGGACTTAGATATGGTACGATCATACAAGAATCTATGATTGATCTTACTATCCGATTTCTCGGCCTGGGTAGTTTCCTCCCAGGACAAACAATCATATTGTAAGATCTGACAAGATCATGGATCTGATCTTATATGATCTTGTACGATTATACGAAAGTCATACAAAAAA